ATACAGCCCTAACTATGCAAACCCTTTAGGGAGGCAGCCAAAAAGCACATGGTGCATCTGACCGGGCTGAGAGGCTGCGGAGCAATTAAAGCTCCCTGGCAGCGTTCTTGGAGCATTACCTGGGAAAGCCACCTTTAGTGACCACCTTTAGAGTGACCTTTAGGTGTTCCATATTTGGGGACTTGCCTTTTAGTCCTGGGAGGGCAGGTTGAGCAGTAAACAGCCTCTCGGGGCAGCTCAGGTGGTGGAAAAGGGCAGGAAGGTGGAAGCAATGAGCTCTGCTCTGGTCCCTGCTGCCAGCAGGGTGGCTTCTCTAGTGGCTCAGCAGGCTTCTGCCTGCTTTGATCACCATGATGCTTCATGACCCATAATTCACCAGCACAAGAACCTGAAACGTTATTAGTGGAGTGTGCAAGGGGATGCTAGAGGAGGCAACACAGCATCAAGGAGAGATAACCCCCTCTGCTCTACAACAAACTGCCCATTAGCTTGAACAACAGAGAAGCCAACCACAGCATGAAGGCATGAATCCTGCATATCGATTCAAAGCTTTGGGGGAAATACCCTAGATTTTTGCTATTGCCTCCTGCTGTTTCTGGAAATAAACCCCTAACATTTTAGGATATAAAATCATCATCATTGCATCAACCAGGTTCTGACCATCAACGTAGAGTGCAGCTTTAAAGGAAGCTAGAGAGAAACAACAGAGAAGTGTGGGTTGCCTGAGAGACATTCCCTCATCAACCCTTTTTGCTCTCCTCTGCATTGCTTGACTTTTATTCTTCCACTGCTGCCAGCTAGGGAAACGGAAGGCTCCAATGCTTAAGAGTATTTTACTCACGGTGGCTCTCACAGATACCTTAATGTTCCCATCTCCTTGCCACCCAGTGATGAGCTTTCCTGTCAGTGGATGCTGCAAGCAGGTGCTTCTAGTGGGAAGTGAGAAGAAAATCCAGGCCAGAAATCCAGAGTCACTCCACAATGAAAACTGACCCTACCGGGACCCCCACCCCTCCCACGCCCGTTTGCAACCCTCTCTGCTGGATTTTGTCTGTCATTTAGCAGCAGAACTGACACCAAACGCGATGTTTGGTGCAATCCATGTTGCCTGAAGCTGGAATAGGAATGTGGTCAGGGAGCCCTGCTGCTCTGTAACCTAGCATTTCAGAATGATCCTGTGGGACTTGTTAAGTCTCCTGAAAGCTTTCCAGCAGCACACCTAGGTTCAGACTGGTCCAGGAGGTGTGAAGTTGAGATGTTCTGGCAGGGAGTTGTTTCCTTCCTTCCCCATTATTCAGATTGCCTCTAACCTTTGGCACCATCCAAGATGAGGTGGTGCGTACTTACTCGGTGCTACTCAAGCTTCATTTTGGGCTGGCACCTCTCACACATCCCAGGGACCAAATTCAAGTACCGATGTTATCTGAGGGAGGAGGGAGAAAGGAGGAGTGCTGCTGGGATCTTTGCTCATGCTCTCAGCCCACTCTGCTTGCCCAAAGCTCCTGCTATATCCCAGGGACTGCAAGAGCAGTTAGGTTCTGTTCTTCCAAGGCAGTTTCTCCCCTCCATCTCCTCAAGCAGCTGTTGAAACTAAATGACTTGCTATAGAGGCTTACACAAAGGCAAGGGCTCTGGCTGGCCAAGACTTCAAGTGATATGAATTTAAAGAGAGAAGGGGGAGGGGGAAGGGATGTGTTCTTACATTACAGTTGCCTCTGTCCCAAGGTTCTGAGCCAAGAGGATTGTCAAGATTAGAAACATTATCTGCATTCAAATCCCACTAGCTTTATGGAATCAGAAAATACTGTAAGGGGATATAGAAATGCTCGATACTGTAATGAGCAGGGGACAACCAGCCAAGCTGACATGCCTTTGGCATACTTTATATTTTGCTGCCTTATGGGGCTCAAGTTTAGGTGTGGGAATACATCCTCACCTAAGCACTGATGAAACTCACCTGCTGTAATGGAAAGCAAAGATGCAAGATCCAACCCCTGCATAATTTGCATTTGAAAAGCCCCCATGGGCACTGACACACTTGTAAAGGTCTCCGCTGCCGCAGTGGAAAAAGCTCCTCAGAGTCTGATGTTGCATGAACCTTTCCCTGGTGCAAGACCCCAGTGCTCTGTGGACGGGCACAGGCTACAGCTGTACCACTCACCTCACTAACACACATAGCATCAAAGTCCCAGGGAAGGAGGCAGGCTGTGTGCTTAGCTCCATCCCCACAGTGTATACAGGATAGTGCTGTACATGCTCTCTCCTAGATACACACACACTGCTGCACACCTTCACTCAGGGTAAGCCTCTTCAGAGGAACATCTCCAAGCACTCATACCCACAGTACACACACCTCCGAGACACCACCAGGCACACCTCCAGCATCACCATGAACTTTCCTGAGCCCCAGTGAAGTGCACACACCCAGAGTCTCACACAAAGAGGCTTTCACCCCATCAGACAAGCTCTCTTGACATGTTTACTCTTTCCCAGCAAGCTCCCAGCTGCACCCACTCCCTTCCCAAGAGCTGCATGCTGACACACATCACTCCTGGTCAATGCCTCCTCTCCTGTAAACATGCACGCCCAGGCTCTTGTCTGTAGCAGATGCTTCAGCTTTTCTGCACGTTTCTGAGCTGCTTCAAACAGCCCCTAGAAACCCCAACCACCTCCTGTGTGAAGGAGTCAAGAACTTTCAGGCTTGAACTGCCCTGATGCTGTCTGACACAAGGCTAACATACCTGTAAGGAAGTAGCTAGATCAAGTGTGGGCTGGATATGAATTAACAGTCTTCTTCCCTTGGGCTTTCTGGTGTGTTACCTCTGCTCACACTGCAAGCCAGAGGCTCAAGTGTTGACTCTGAGGAACCTCTTGCTAGTTTACACAACTGGCAGCATGCAGAGACATTCCGACAGTGCCCCCAAAAGATGATGATCCTACAGGCTTCATCCTCTTGTTCAGTAAAGGCAGACCCTCATAATGGGGAACAGAAAACAGCTTTTCCTGCTTGCTAACGTCTAGGATGCTCACAAGAAGTGTTCATCTCTCCCTGTATTATAGGGTACCAGGTGCTCATTAGGTGATGGCTGTGGCCTGAGCTAGGAGGTGGGATGCTAGACCAGTCAGGGCAGTGCTTGGATGCCTTCTCAATGGATGCACAAACATGGAGCAGTGCAGGCTGTATCCATTGTAAACACAAGCCCTGGATGCGCAGCCTTGCCTTTATTTCAAAACACTGGCTGAGAGCAAGGAAAAAGCAGCAGGACCACCTATTGCCTGCATAACGTGAGCATGGTGCTACACACATGGTGGCATGTTTCCCTCAGGACTGGCCAGGCAGCCACACAGGGATCAAGGCTGCAGTGATGCTGTGGTGCTTGGCAGAGAGCATGTCCTCCTGGAGGGCTTCAGGACAGACCTGGAGACACATATTTGGTGGAAGGGAGAAGACAACCACTTTCTCCATCACTCCTCTTCACCCAAGCAAAGTCCCTGAGCCCTGACCCTCAGGATTTCAGGGACACCAAAATGATGCCTATGGGATGCTGGCTCCATGAAACCCCAGTGTGCAAGCAATGGGGCTGCCCCATCACTTTTGCTCCCTGGTGCCTTTAATCACTGCTCACTCTCACAGTGCCCAGGCACAGGAGGAAGCTATTTATAGCAGGGGAGCCAAGGGGCCGTGTGGCCATGGGGGCAGTGCTGCTGGGTGACATTCAAACTGGCTTTGAGGCTGGGGGAGGATGCCAAAATGGGTCCTGGGGGAGGGTGTTCCTCATAAATCAGCCTGCCATCTCCCTGGCCATGGCTTCTCTTATGTCCCCCCCCTTCAGCCTCCCACCACTGAGCACAGGCAGCTGTGCCCTAATAGGGACATTCCTGTCCTGGAAGCCCCCAACCCCTCATCCCTATTGATCCCCTCACATCCAGCAGGGTTGAGAGGGAGGACAGCAAGAAGACCATCAGCATCAGAGGTATTCATGGAGGAGGGAGGAAGGGGGAGACAGAGGGGGATCTCAGAGCATCATTACAGCCTTGTTGGGTCTCTGGCGTGCTTGCAGCAGGGCTAAGTCGGTCATCTGGTGAATAAGGGTCTCATTTCCCAAGGTCACTTCCTCTTTATGGAGTCCATCTGGAACTTACAGGGTCTCAGCCATGGCCACTCCCACCATGGGGCATTTGCAGAGCGTCTCCCCTTTCCTCACATATCTATTTTCACAAAACAGGCAGGAACTTGATATGTTCTAGAGGCCCCTTCAGCAAAAATGGTGGGAACAGGGGGCAGTCGTTTCCCAGAGCTGCAAGAAGGCAAATGCAAGCATGGATGGGATTATTCATTTCTTTAGGAAAAAGAAGGGACCAGGAACTGGGGGGTGACTAAAGCCTGGACAGGAGACACGACTTAATGCGTTTCATAAGGGAAAGGACTAGTTTTGCAAAGCCACGAGCCCTTCTGCTTTATTTTGCTGGGTGCCTGCTTTGGCCACCCCATCACATGTATGAAGCAAAAGTGATGATGCTGTGCCCTAAATCCCATCCAGCTTGAAGCCACTACTGCCTGGCACCAAGCACTTCCGGAGTTAAAATGTCCATGGTGCCCACATGTTACATTCCACTTCAGGAGGCCACAAAGGCACAACGGAGGAGACAGCTTTTGCTTTGTGTCAGTGGCACAAGTCTTTCTCCAGCCATGTCCACTGCTTTGGTGCCCCTGACTCAGTCGGGAGCCCTCTCCTGATGCCAGAGTGTCAAACAGCAGTTACCAGCATGTGGTATGGCCAACAAACTCAGTGCTGCAACACAGTGGGAAGAAACCCAACCCTTTTGACCTCTGGGCAGCGTTATCTCAGCAGGGAGGCAGCATGCGATGCATCCCACCCATTAATGCTGTCTGAAAGCAAAATATGGGTCACTTGTGCCTGTTGTACCATGCACAATGCCCTTTAACTACCCTGTGGTGTTAATGCTGCTAAGGTGGGGCTCTCTGGTTCCTCCCACAGCTGGCAGCTCAGGTCCTGGAGCCCAAGAGCATTGGCTTCGGGATGGTTGACTCCAAGAAGGACGCCAAACTTGCCAAGAAGTTAGGTGAGTCCCATGTCTGGAATCTCTGGAATAGCTTGGAGGGAGATGTGTGAGTGATGCTCAGCTGCCAGCTCAATAAAGGACAGCCAAATCCTTGTTACCAGGATGGCAAAGGTGATGGCAGCAATTACACACTTACCAGCCCAACATGAGCAGGATCAAATGAGGAGAGGATGGGAGGGATGAGACAAGACCCTTCCAGCAAAAGCGTTCTGGCTGAGAGTGCCAAAACCAAACCAAACAAAGTGAAAAGGAAAGCCAGTTCATGCCATACTGGTGACAAGGTGGAAGCTCACCACTTGCTGAGCAGATACTTTAAATAGGTTCCATGGAGTAACTCCATGCTCTTCCTACAGAGAGACAGGTCTGACACAGCAGTGCAGAACTAAAACCCATGGGGAAATCAGATAAGCCCACAAATGTCACCACCAGATGGCAAAGTAATTTTCTTTCCTAAATTAAAGGCTCTGTATGCTGGTGGAAACTCAACTAAAGGGGAGAGCTTCTCCCTCTCTTAGAAGAAACAATCTATCACCGGCCTTGGCCCATGGTGCCCTGCCATCATGCACTGCAGGGGCTCTGCTGTTAATTTTGGAGCCTCCATTGAGATGCTGTGGCATCCAGCCCTCAGTCCAGTTATATACTATTCAAATCTGCCAGCCTGCCATCTATGGCATCTCTGTCACAGGTTTCTAACCCTTTTGCCAGGGCTAGCTAAGCCTCGGAGAGTTTGGAACTGACTTTGGCTTTCAGGTCACTGTTCATGTTCACATAGCCTTCTCTGGGCAGAGAACACAACCTGCATCACAATCCATTTTTCATTGAGTGAGAAGTTGTTAAGATTTGGGATGTCAGAGCCCAAATCTATTTGCTATTTACTATTTACTGCAAGACAAATAGCCAAACAAAACCAAGGTCCTGGGACAGAACTTTTCCACCTGGGGCCAAACTGTGACCTGAACAACAAGTTCCACATTTGGGAAGAAGCCATGGCGAGTTCTGGCTGAGCTCTGTCCCTTGTGCCATGAAACATCAGTCAGGAGACTGCTCAAATCGGTTCTAACTGGACCAACACTGCGAACCAGCGTGTTCCCAGGAGGCGTTGCTGGAATAGCAAGCAAGATGCCCTGTAATAGAAATGCTTTTAGGGATGAGTTAACTACATGATGTTTCCTGTCTCTTTCTTTCAGGCTTGGTTGAAGAAGGAAGTCTCTATGTCTTTAAGGAAGAGCGGTTGATTGAATTTGATGGGGAACTGGCCACAGATGTCTTGGTGGAATTCCTCTTGGATGTAAGCACAGATAAGATAGATAAAGCCTCTCTGAGAAGCCCTCACTTTGTTAAAAACCGTGGCTTTATCTTTATTGGAAATTCCATCCCTGTTTGTCTGGTAGAGATGACACTTGCCAGCTTCCCAAATACTTGTCTGACCACAAGTTCCCAGGAAAGCTGGGAACTTCATGTGCTACCAACCACTTAGATCTTAAAAATGCTCTGCTCTCTTTTCTGTTTATGGTGTATTTGACTAGAATCAAGTAACAATCCCACACAACTGACTGGTAGTCACCCACCTCAACAAGCTGGCCTGCAAACACTTTGCCATTTGCAAAATCTCACACTTCTTTCTTTTTAAAGTTGATAAAAAAACATACCCAGGAAGTTGCATTCTCAGAGCGTCTAAAAAGAGTTTAATTCATTGAAATTGCATATGCTGCAAACTATTTGTCCCTTTCTAGACACAATAACTCAAGCAGAGCAGTGTACTACTGCCTCTTCAGTGAACTTCCTGAATTGCACTGCCATGAGTTAGAGAAGATCAAGGCCCTCGCACTTATTTATAGAATCATAGAATAGTTAGGGTTGGGAAGGACCTTAAAATCATCTAGTTCCAACCACCCTGCAACGGGCAGGGACACCACACATTAAACCATGTCACTCAAGACTCCATACAACCTGGCCTTGAATTCTGCAAGGGATGGGATGCTCTTGTGCATGGACACATTTATTCACCTTTATGCCTAAGTGCAAAAGAGGTGCTGACTCCCTCATCAACATGTTGCAATTCTATTAAAATTTTATTCCTAGGAAAGGCAACAGCCCAAAACCATGGTCTTTGATTTGTTGTGAAAACATTTTGCAGGGGCTTGGCTTTCCTTTGAGATGAAGCTCCCGCTATGAGCAGCTGGTCTAGTGCAAGTGCCTGTGGCAGGGGATTGGAACTGAATGAGCTCTAAGGTCCCTTCCAACCCAAATCAGTCTATGATTCTGTGATTCTATGACCATCACAAGGAGCTTGGCGTAAGGCATTTAGTGAGGTTTTGCTTGCTGTGATTTGCGGTGTGCCGCTGAAAAGCCATGTTCTGTGAACAAAGGAAGAGAGCAAGGATTTCTGTTTGTGTGTTTTCCACTCAAGAGGGAAAATCCCAGCAAAGCAGGGAAATAAAAACAAACACGTCTGTGGTGCCGGGACAGCCTGATCTCAAAGGAAAACAAACCCAGAGATCCTCTGCTCTGCTGCAGGCTGTATAGTGAGTCGCCTGCCTGCACTTGTGTTTTCCTAGTGAAACCACACCTGATTTACACCAGTATTGCTGGGCAAAATAACCAGACCAAATCCTTTCATCAGCAGTGGCTCATAGAGAAAACAGAAATAAAGTCTGGATCAACCACATGCTGAAGTGGCAGATAGGTCTTCCAGCTTCCTCATCAACTATGATATGTCCAGGGCCAAAGCATGCATTTAAGCCATTCTGCATAGGAAGATGAGCCAGGAAAATTCACATCCAGACTTTCCACTGCTCCAAAACACTGTTTGGCCACCCTCTGGTGTGCTGGATTTAATGTTTTCCAAAAGCAAGCTCTTTGCAATGACCTGTTCCAGCGAATGACACTTGAAAACAAATATATGCAAGCGCACAGCTTCCATATCAGTCTCATTCACCTGCTCTCCCTTCTTCTCAGCCCCACTAAAGCCAGCTGCAATTGCTATCCTTTGTCTTTCATCACAGCAGGTCCCTCAGCACCAATTTGGGTTACTGAGACCTCTCCCAGATTCCCTCTTGATGCTTCAACATATGCAGTGAACCTATTAATGGCTCCCTCTGAAGGTGACCTGCACCTCTCTTCTCACATTAAGGCAGAGAACACTAAGTAGTGTTTCCAGCGGCTGAGAAACTGGGTGACCTCCTTCTCCCTGCTAGTGACATACCCTGCCAGGCATAGGTTGGTGTTGCAAATCATTCTGCTATCAAATGCATTTGTCATGGCAGGTGCTAGAAGACCCTGTGGAGGTCATAAACAGCAAGCTGGAGCTTCAGGCCTTTGACCGAATCGATGAGGAAATCAAACTCATTGGCTACTTCAAAGGAGAAGACTCTGAACGTAAGATGAATATGTTCGTCGTGGGGCATGGAGCCTGACTGGGGGCTCTGGGGCTTGGGCATTGGTTCTTCTGCATGAATGCTAAGGGTGTTGGGGGTATATGGCAAGATGAGATGGAGCTGCAGGCAAATCTCTGCTCTTGCCATGCATAAGCCTATGTCTACACCAACAGTGATGACCCTCCTGCAAGGTATTTGTTGGCAAAAGAAGGAGGTGATAATCCAGGGGCTCCTGAAGTAAAGTAAGCCTATGTTACTCAGAGTCAGATGAGGTTACAGTTACACTGGTTGAAGGCCTAAAAGAAGCAAAGCTCCCCCTCTTAGGAGCAGGTCAAAGAAAGAGGGAAGGAGGAAAAGGGAAAGAGAGGGACACACACTAAGTACCCATTTGGCAAACATACAGCAGCAGTAAGCTGGGCATCTTAGGTTAGCCCAGCCGAGTCACTGACTTGTTTCTCCTCACTGAACCCCAAGGCTGAGAAGACACTGGTCCCATGTACCAAGAGACATGCAACTCAAACCACCATCTTTCACCAGCCTAGAGAAATCCTCACCAGAGACTCTCACTGACAAGCCCCAGTGGTCTCCTCTGCCAGCCCCGAGTGCTCCCCTTGCTCTCCAGGTAGTGCTGAAAAGCCTTGCCTGCAAGGCTTGCCTTTAGCAAAAAGACAGGTATTCCTACCCGAACAAGCAACATATTACCAGGTCTGCTGCACCACAGCAGCCCTTCCATTTCTCCCTTCAGCTTTCTTCTTCACTCAAGATGGGCTGCAGGGCGGTAATAAGTATTTTGGAGAAAGGTGGGAAATAGCCCAGCAGGAGCTCTTTACAACGGGTGAGAGCACCCTTCCTGACCCCAGCTGAGGACCCGATACCAGTAACAATAAAAACATGCCTCTTTCCTTCTCCCTCCTCCTGCAGCAGGCAAAGCATGCCTTGGTGACAGTCACCATGCAAACCCTGGAAGGGTGGGAGAAGCATAGTGCCATCACCTGATGTATTTTGCCATAGTTTATGTTTGTTCTTCCCTGGTGCCTTCTGTGCTGATCAGCTGCCGATGAAATCTTTTCTTCATTCCCCTTTTCTCCTTCCAGATTACAAAGCATTTGAAGAAGCTGCTGAACACTTCCAACCATACGTCAAGTTCTTTGCCACCTTCGACAAAGGGGTAAGCATCCATGGACCTCCATGGGAGCTCACAGACTCCACCACCTGATTTCCAGCAGCTCAGGTTGCTCCCAGGTTTAATATCAGGCTTCAGATTCTCATTTTCAGTGTTGCTGTGGTTTGTGGCGTCCAAATTTGGATTTGTCCCTGTGGCAAGATAAAAGGCCATTTCTGCAGCATGAAGGCAGGTCCTGACCTGGGTTTGGAAACCAGTCCCTTTAAGTTTGTGAGAGCTTGACTCTGGCATTGCTCTGCCTCAGTGCTTGAGGCCAGTAGTGCAGAGAGCTTCCGTAGTTTTATAACCAAGGAAAGATCCATTCATATTCTGCTGACCATCGCTGAGAGTGGATGCTCTGAGACAGAGCAAGCACTTTGACCAGGAGAAACTCTGGATAGGCAAAGAGGCACGTCAGGCTCACTCACTTCTGACCATCTGCACTGCAACAGGTTGCCAAGAAGCTGGGTCTGAAGATGAATGAGGTGGATTTCTATGAACCATTTATGGATGAGCCTGTTCACATCCCTGATAAGCCTTACTCAGAAGAGGAGCTGGTGGAATTTGTGAAGGAGCACAAAAGGTATGTAGCATGCAGGACACTCCTGGCCATGGGAAGCAGGTAAAGGTGTCTGGCATCACAGGCTTGCCCCTGTAGAGCATCCCTCTCATTAAAAATTGGGATGACAAGCACCTGCTGACCCAGGTTTGAGATTTTTGGCTGATCTTTTCCCACTCCCTGAGGTGCAAGTGTCAGTGCTGCAATCAGAGCCCACTACCATGGGGCTGTGACAGAGCTTCCTTCCTGCTCCCTCGAGGAGCAGGGAGGCTTGCAGGCACTGCAGAGTGGAAACCTTGCCCTACTTGCCCATGCTTTTAATTTAGGTCTGTTCCCTCCTTCCCCAAAACAGCATCACTGATGGGTATATCATATATCCATCTCTTCATGCCTGTTATGTCCATAGGCAGGCTCCAAGCTCAGGTCAAGCTTGGAGGAACCAGGATTGACTAAGAGGTTCCTGCTGACCTCAGGCGTGGAGAGGAAGCCACTGCTGTTATGGCAGTGTTGGGCCTCATGTGGCAATAGTGCTGAGCACCTACAGTGTTTGATCAGCTCAGCAGGAGCTGTGGATGCTCTATGCTTTCTGCAACCAGATTTATTGCACAGTTGTTTAGGGACTCAGTCTACAAGTGACTGGAAAGGCTGATCCTTTGTAAAAGCACAGGGTTGAATATAAGGGCACAATTACCCATGGGGTGCTGTATTTTCAGACCATTAGGAATGCAGCACAAGGTAGTCACAGAGCGATTTGCTGCTCCTGCATCTGCATTTCAGACCTTTAAGAGACCAGAAAAGAAAAGCAGGACCATCGATACTTCTGGGGGACCCTAAAATCAGGCTGAGCTTGAGGTTTGTGTTCACACACTGAGGGTTTAGAGACACAAAGATTATCTCTGGAATTCCCAATTTACCAGACTTGGAAACAGATCTCTGCTTTTTCTGACATATGAAGGGGTCCTCTATATCCCATGTACATGTACTTGCAGGTCACTTCATTGATCTCCTGGACTTCCTGACCTCAGTCCTTCCCATTTTTTTCTCTCAAGCTCTTTCTGTCAAGCAGCAGCATCAGGAGGCGTCAAACACAGCTAAATGCCTAACAACACAAGCTCTCCACCAGCACAAAACTGCAGTGGACACCCCCCCCCCCCAAGATGCTATGGGGTGCTTGGTAGGAGTGAGAGGATGGGCCATGTACTTTGCAAGTGTCAAGGCTCAGAAGGGAATTAAAAGGTGTCTCATGAAATCAGATGCCCGAAATCCCAAACTTTGGACCAAGGTGGTGGCACGGCAGGGGAAAAACCCTGAGCTGACAGTGATATGTTCACAGTAGTTAATGCCGAGTCTCACAGAGAATATAATACACTAGACTAGAATGGGATAAGACAGAACGGAATAGGGTTAAGAGAGGCTGCGCTAATACCAAGTACATGGTAGTTCCTCTGCCTACAGCAAGAGGTCTCTGGGTTGACGTTTGTTTCGCATGCCGTAATGCTGGGGTTAGACACCCATCCTACCCTCGACCATGTTTTCTGTAACTGTGATATAGCAACACGGGGGCTGAATCCTGCTCCCTCTTGACTCACCTAAACCCCACTTCCTACAGCACAGGGAAGTAACCAGAGTAAATCTGGAGTATCTCTATAGCAACCGGTACACTTGGGTGTGATCAAATCCTCCTGACCGAGTTTCCCTTCTCCAAGAGCCGCCCCCAGAGGACGGATAGGGAAAGCGTCTTGAAAGACAGGTACATGTAGAGGTACATAACATGCATTCGCCTGACAGAATCTCTAGTTTCAGACGATCAGCAATGAGGAGATTTGCTGGGTCAAAAATTGCATCCCTGATCTTCTGCTTAGTAACTACTCTTCCATTTCTATAGGTTTTTTTACCTCCTTTCTATTTTGATGCTGAAAGCAGCCAGTTTGGCAATTGAATTATGCACTGTATCAAAATAACACTTCTATTTGTTCAGTTTATACTTGCTACTTAAAAACTTCACGGGCACCACTAAGCTCTTGTGTTGTGAGGACCAATGACCACTCTCTGCTTTGCATTTGCAGCTTTTACCATCCCAATTTTTTTAGCACCCCCCCCCCCCATCCTCAGTCACCTCTTTCATAAGATAAAGGGTTCTTATCGACTGAATCTCACACACACAGAGGTCATTCCATACCTGCTTTCACCACTGCCATGTTTCCATGTCCCTTTTTCAGTTGTTCTATATCATTTCTCTGATGGGATGACCAGAATCACACATACACTCACTGTGGCGATGCAGAGTAAAGCTGCTTAATGGTATGATGTGTTTTACTCCTCAGTCATTTCCCAACTGCTTGTAACCCTCTTTTTACCTTTGGAGCAGATGATTTCCCAATTTGTGACACTTGGGCCCTTCTCCTGAAGACAATAATTAATTAGAACTCATTTAGAACCCATTGTTGCACCTGTATAATCAGGGTTGGTTATTCTACAAGTGCATTGATTGCTATATGTATCTGTCATGCAGCCTCTCAACTCACAGAGATCCCCCTGTGTCTCCTCGTAGTTAGACCTGTGTTGATTGTAAAAGAACTGGATCCGATAAGCAGCCACTGCTATATTCCTATTTCACATCTTTTTCAGGTTATGTGAGAAGATCTTATGCATACAATCATGCCAAATCATATGCTTTGCTATGAATCTTAATTCCCTTTGTCTTGAAAATTGATTGTTCATCTCAACCTTCATCTTCCAATGTCATTAATCCACAGGAGGACCCCTCCTCTGATCTAACTGAAGCTCTGTTCCTGAGAGCCTTTAGTAAGGGACCTTGGCCAATGGTCCTCTTAAGGCAACTCACTGCCTTGACCTTCACCCACTCATTGGCGACTCTAGCAGACCCATGGCCATGACTTAAAGGCTACACGCATCTCTAGTGCTACTGTGTCATATTCCTTCAAATGTCTGTTAACTTTACTTTTGCTGGTGGCATTGTGCCCATAAGGGCATTGTTCTTCCAGACCTGTGGCCCCTCAGATCCTTCAGGAACTCTCTAAAACAATGCTCCTTGTTTCCATTGCCCTTGTAGTGAAGCAAACTGAAGCGAGAGGTTACACATCTCGCTGATGCCAACGTGCTGCTACTCCCTTTACCAATCTGTTCTAGGACCACATTCATCAATACTTCTCTTTGCAACAGCTTTCTGGGGCTGGTCAACTAGAGAGGCCTGCTCTGCTGGAGAACCTGCCTGAACACCTCATGCTACAGTGAGCAGAGGTGTGAGGGACTGTTTGTTCTTCTCTCCTTGTGTTCTCTTTAACACCCCAGTCACCCCTCAGACTGCCAGGCTCTCTGACAGGCTTCCTGCTATGTACGTGTATGAAAAGGTTTACTATTCAATTAGAATCCAACTTCTCTTCCCAGAGGTTATTCTGTCTTCTTTGCCTCAGAAGGTTTTGGAAAGGTTTTTATGGTGGAATTGTGCTGGGGTAAAACCAGAAGAAAAGGGGAACAAAGCTCATTAGGAATGTCCTGGAGACTGCAAGACAAAAGTGAATGGTTCCCCTCATGCTCTCAGCACGGACAGAACAATCTGCCATGTGTGGGACTAACTCACCAGCACATGCCAGCACAGAGAAGGGTCTCATCTTCCCAAGCACAAACAGCAGCTGCAGTGACTCCAGCAGGGGCAAGGGCAGGGTTTTATCACCATAAATAAAAGCATAAGTTGACCTACCGTGCCCCCTTTGCTTTCATTCAAAATGCAGTGGCTGACAACACTGACTCCAGCCATCAACCACACATGCCTCAGTGACCTTCTCCGTGACACCATCAGCATCACGCGTGATGGTGCTGGACGTGTCCTCAAAGAGTGTTTCTGTCTTCCTTTCAGGGCCACCTTGAGGAAGCTGCGCCCAGAGGACATGTTTGAGACATGGGTAAGCACGCACAGCGGGAAGTCTGGTGCCCTCTGATAGCTTCCAACAAGAAACCACAAGAGCCCCAGTCTCTGGCTGGGAACAACATTATCTTTCTTTCCCCGTGAGCAAAGCCTCTTTGCCTGCTTTGGGAAGAAGGGAAAGCATTGGCTGTAAAGCCCGGGTCCCACTGCTGCTTTGCTTAGCAGCAGTGGACAGCTGAGCTGAGTGCTGTTTGCTCCACAGGTGGGACAGGGAAAGCTAACCAAGCGTGCCAAGTCTTGCTGCTTTAGTGGCTGTGACATAGCTATGGAGAGCATCCTCCCCAAGGATGATCCATGTCATTTAATGGGCATCACTGCTGCTGGTGGGGTGGTTTCAGTGGCCTGCTCACTGTTATCAGCCATTGGAACAGGCTGCCCAGGGCAGTGCTGGAGTCATTGTCCCTGGAAGTGTTCACACACTGTGCAGATGAGGCCCTCAGTGCCATGGGTTAGTGGTGGCCTTGGCAGTGCTGGAGTAAAGGTTGGACTTGATGGTCTTAAAGGTCTTTTCCAAGTGAGCTGATGCTATGATTCTATGATTGCATTGAACAGATGATTCATGGCAATTGTACCAGAGCAATTGTACAACTCAAAATGCAAGTGAGGGCAGGCAGTTCAGTTAATTATAGAGATTACAGAGCAAATTGTGTATTGATTGTGCTTCTCACAGTGTAAGCAAGCTGCAAGGGAGAGATTATGAAGAACTAAGCAGCAGTTTGGTACCAGTCACACACAGAGGACTCTCCTGGTCTGCAAGGGTGGGAAACAATGGATGGGTGAAAATGAAAGAAAAATCTTGTATAACAAATGATCCCTTTGCTGTGGATGAGCACAATGTTAATTGCCAGTCAGGGCCCTTAGAATGGCAGCTAAATACTGAAAAGCAAAGCTGGAGACGTGCTTTACAGATGCTAAGGAAGATGCAATCATTCCTCCAAAAAGCTCATCACATTTATAACAGCATTCAGTTGCCTCATTGCTTGGTTGTGGAACAGGAAATGCTGAGGGATTCCAAAACAACAAAAACCTTGGGAGTCTTTAATGCAACAAGACGAGAGGTAATAACACTGAAGCAGGAGTTATGAGTCACTTGGGCATGAGAGCTTTTCATTTGGTTTAGAAATACAGATTATGTATAGATGATGGCTTCCCACATCCACTGAGGTCCCTCCAAGTTTCCTCATGGGGCTGCAGCAGGACCCAACTTTCACAAGGAGCGGTTTTGCTTTCATACTGAACCTTAGGAAAAGTGGGAATTGTCAGTGGTGGGATGTTTGCTTTACTAGCAGCCTGGGGATACAGAGCTTGTCTCTACTATGGGCAGGGGACTTGTACCTACAGGAGACAATGGGCTGGATTTTGATCTCGCTGCAAATTCAAAACATCATCAATGCCTTCACTGGAGTTACCCTTGTTTTGTTTACTGCCTTGGAGGTCAGAATACAGCTACATCATATAGCTATATATATAATTATATATCACACATACATGTATATTCTACTTTTCTGTCTGACAATGGAGAAAAAACAACAGTGTAGATTTTTCCAGCTGCAAGTGGTCTGAATCCCAAGTAGATCTGCCTAGAATGCCCCAATGAAAATGTATTCCCTGGAGACACCAACAAAGGCCCAGCATCCGCTATTGTTTTTAAAGATAATGTTTTCCACTTAATCTTTCAGGGTTTTTTTGGGGGGGTTCCTTTCAGGTCTTGATGGTGGCTTTGTCACCTCTGGGCTCAGAAGGGAAAAGGAATTAGCATTTAGATGGGAATTTTTTCTTGCATTAAAACCAATTGAAATGGAAACTGGGACTGGCAGCGGGTGAGGAAGGCAAAGCTGATCTGTGGGATAATTCAGAGATGACATTCATAGCAGGCAGATGATGAACCAGCCAGTAGATCCATTGGCCTTTGCCAATATCATTACTCACTACTTACATGTCTCATGGAGAAAAGCAGTCCACCAGCCCATTGTTTCTAAACCTCCACACACTGGAGCCCTGAATTCCCCTTGCTGGTCGTAGAAACCCTCACCTAAAGCAGAGACCCTTCACCTCCCCAAAGGGGCCAAACTGAGCCACCGCAGCTCTTGCATTGTGAAGAAACCTCCTTTGCTGGCCACAAAGGAGCACATTTGGGAGTTGAGAGTGGTGACAGATACTTCACGTTAGATATAAGGAGGATGTTCTTTACTGTGAGGGTGGTGAGGCACTGGAACAGGTTGCTCAAAGAAGTGGTGAATGCTGGCAGTGGTGAATCCCTGGCAGTGTTCAAGGCCAGGCTGGACACAGCTTTGGGTGTCATGGTCTAGAGTGAGGCATCACTGCCATGGCAGGGGGGTGGAACTGGATGATCTTAAGCTCCTTTCCAACCCAAGCCATTCTGTGATTCTATGATTTGTTTCCCTGCAAACCATTCCCTGAAAGCTGCAACCTTATGAGGGTAGTTGACCTCAGGCATGGAGGGTGAGCTCATATTCCCATGCTAGAGAGCTCTTGACCTTCCCTGCAGGCAAGCTTTTCCCCACACCATCCCGCGCCACTCCTTTGCGTTTGCCACTGTGGTGCCCATCTCATTTTTAGCTGAAGGATTTCAGCAACAGTACCCAAACTACCTGCTTTAGAACCTGATACCTCCACAGCTCAGCCTGACCTCAGTGTCTTGAAGGCAGCCTATCACTTCTCTGTTGGACTCTGTTCTCCCTCCCTGGCCCATCAGTAATAGTTTTGCTGTTTCCAGGAGGATGACATGGAGGGAATTCACATCGTGGCCTTCGCAGAAGAAGATGACCCAGGTAGGAGGCTTTTTTCCTCCTTGTGTCACTCTCCATCAGTCAAGAAGTGCAGTTTCCTGTGCTTTGTTTGCATTGTGGAGCCCAGTGCCCAGGCTGGGATAGGGAGCTGGGATGCTTCTGGGTTTCTACGCTAGTGGGTGTGCTAGCCAGGATTCAAGTTCTGGGTATAAATGAATAGCTGGCTGCAAAAGAAAAGTCATCCCCTGCACCTTAGCACCAGGATTTGTCCCTAACTCTGTTCCCTCCTTGCTTTGTGGCTCCAGGAAAGTGCTGCTGGCTGGGTTTGTGATGGGCATGTGGGAAACCCATGAGCATCAGCTCCTGGAAAGTCGTAGCATCGGTGCTTCTCATGCATCAGTGTGCCAAAAAGCTTTGGCCTCTTGGGGACTCAATTGCTCCCTTGCCACAAGAAAACAGTGTCATTGTTCCAGTCTGCAGAAGGGTTATGAGGCTTAATTCATGTGTAACTAATTTCAGTACCCGGGGAGGATGCTCAACATTAAAAGCCTTATTATCAGAAGAAAGGGCTGGCAGACAGCGTTTTAATGAGCTCTGTGAACAACCCTCTGTGCACAGAGGGGAGAGGGAAGTTGAACCCCCCCCGGAGCAAAAAGTGCCTGGGTGTTTGTAGGAGAGAGCTGCAGCACTTCATGTATCATTTCAGATGGGTTTGAGTTCCTGGAAGTCCTGAAGCAGGTTGCCAGGGACAACACCGATAATCCCGACCTGAGCATTGTCTGGATTGACCCCGATGACTTCCCTCTGGTGAGTGGCAGGGGCTCCTTGCCTTTCCTGTTTTAACTCATGGAAGGGGGGAGGTTGGTGTGGTGGTGTGTGCATGAGCACAGGGATTTCCCCAGGGAATTTGGAATAGGGAAGAACCGGGCAATGGGTGATCCCTGAGAGCTGCTTGCTCAGGTCTGCCCCCAATGAAGGAGGTATCCCGGGAACATCTCCAGAACCGGCACTTTCCTTTGCCATGTGTGGCAGCTCAAGCTTGTGTTCAGCCTCTCCCGGGTGCATTAATGCAACAGGCATTTGTTAATCCAGACACCCTTGTCTGAGCTTTGTTTCTCACTCCTGCAGCTCATCACCTACTGGGAGAAGACCTTCAAGATCGACCTGTTCAAGCCACAGATCGGGGTGGTGAACGTCACAGACGTGAGTAGCGTGTACCCAGGAAATCCAGTGATCCCAAAATGGGGTGCTGGAAAGGGCAGGTTCTGAGGTCTGCTGGAATCTGTGGGATTTTTGCTGTTAAGTGCAGGCAGAACACGCTTTTTCCCCAAGGAAAACGTGTAAAGACCTCACCATTCCCATGTGCAGCGTTCATAACACCTCTGACGTTGAGCTCCAGGGCTTCCGTCTGACTGAACCTGGGTGGGTTTGTGGAGGAAAAGTGTGCATGTAGGGGGGAAAGCAAGTCGTGATTAGGGGAGAAGAGTAGCAAAAGGAGCGTGTTTTTTGCAGCAGAAGCAGAACAGCACAGCTTGAATGTAGGAGGGAAAGATGGTCCCAAACAGATGACAGGGAGAAACTGCATAGCTTGAAAAAAAAAACCTAAATAAATACACAGCTTTAATAAGAGTATGATATAAACTGGTAACAAAGGGATCCTGCTGTGGCAAAGGGGCTATACTGGGATTCATCCTCCGCAGCCACTGCCATGCAGGGGTTTGGGTGGGAAGAGGGTATATGTCTGCCCCACACCCCATGGCAGTGAAGGGTTTCCACGCCATCCTGCAGCCTGGCTGACTTATTCCCTAGGTTTATTTCTGATGATGAAGCGCTGCGTGTTTTAATCTCTTTAAAACGAACCCGTGTGGGTGGGAGTGTCTCTGGAAGCATAAATCACTGCTGAAGTGGCTGTAATTTGGTGCTTGACTTCGTGTCTGAAGTTTCAACTGCATGGGAAACTGATGTTTCATTAGGAGAGAGCAGGGAAGGACCCGGGGTTGGGTCCTGACCTCAGCAGCAACCCTGTTCCTGGCTCCTGTGCACTCTCTCCCGTAGCTTTGCAGGGCAAGAGGGGCAGCAAGGGTGTACTGTACGATTGTGCCTCCTGTTACAGCAAATGCTGCAAGATGGGGGACATGGTAGGGAAAGCAAAGCGCTGGCGTGATGCAGAAAGCGGATATACACCTAGAGAGTGAGTACCCAGTGGGTGAAGGCTTGTTAGAAACTTATGAAGGGAGAGATAAAAGGCAAAAAGGGCCCAGATAACGTCTGAAACCTAAGATCATGGGAGAAATGAACAGGCAAGACAGAAACAGAGCTCACGTATTCCAGTCTTTTCCCCTTATTACTAGTCCACTGTATCTCCCTGCATTATGTTCACTGCAGCTCTCCGTGTTTAAGTCATGTCACAGCTCCATTGAAGAAATTCATGAAAGTAGGATTGTCAGTGGCAAGCGAACTCTATAGAAAGCGGTATTAGGCAGGAACATATGCCATATTATCCAGCAGTCACTCAGAAACCTGTGAAAACTCGTGCATTAGCTTTGATACAGTCAGTGTTTCAGGTGGCTGATTACATTATTTGCATTTTTTCTTCAATTCCTCTTAAGCCTATTTTCTATTCCTCAAGAGAGAGATTGAAGAAGGCTCTGGGTTGGAGGGTGCTATCTAAACCAAACACTGAGCTCACTTCGTGATTTCAGTGTTACATCACCGCATTCAGCCAAGTTACACAGGTACAAAGTGAAGCTTACACAACAGAGTAAAAATAAACACTGCTCTTGGCTTCGGTGGACATAACCCCTGTGACCCTATCACTCCTCTAAGAACCTGCCAATACAAACACCAGAGCTCCCAGCAGTCCCCGCTGCTCTGTCACGTCGGACTGGCTCAGGATTAGGGCCATGGTGCTCTGCACCATGCTGCTTTACGTATGTGCACAGCATCTTCTCGAGGGGCAATGGGCCCACTCCAGTTCCCATTCGTTAAAGGTGTCAGGTTTTGCCTCAAGAACAGTCCTGAGGTTGAGGACAAGATCGTTTGTATGAAGCAGGAGCTGCATGCCTCTTTGTGGCTCTTTTTTATTACAGTTTTAGTGGTTTAGAAGGAAGACAAATACTGTAAGGGAGAAACAACTTTTCTTGAGCACAAATTGGTCCGGCCTTTTAGCAAGCCATAAACCAAAGAGAATTGAGTACAACAGACAGGGATGCATTTGCACCCAGTGCAAATTGGGGGTGTATTTGCACTGGATGCATTTCCAAAAGCAGGTATTTGTCTTATGAGATATGAAAAGCACTTGCTTCTGCAACATTAAACACTGACTGAGATAACCTCACAGCACCTCTGCAAAACAGGATGCTGATCCTGTTTCATGGTGGGGAGACAGCGAAGCGAAAGAGGCTTACCCAGGCATTTACCTAAGAAACCTATAGCAAAGCAGAGAGAAAACCTTGCATTTCCAGGCCTCAGAGACCACCTAAGCTATGTTTCCTGTCCCTGGGTAGCAGCCACAATTTAGACAGCATCTTCTTATTGAATTCCCCCTCATCTGTTCTACCTAGTTTATGGAAGTAATGCAGACAGCTGGAGAGAAAGAGCAGGGGGCACCTGCATTCCAGGGCATCCGTGTTTTTCATCATTCTTCAGCTGGAGCATGGTTGAGATGATGTGATGAAAGGCTCTTCAAAGAGAAAGAGCCACCATCACACGTGGAGAGTCCAGAGCAACATCCTGAGGCAAAGAGGATAGTAATAGAGGCTGGGGAGAAGGGTTGCTGCTGACAGCAGGGTGTAAAGGCTCAAAGGAAGAGGTGCCAGAAGGGCTCTGGAAGGAAGGAAGGATGGAGGGGAATGCTGTGATGTCCTGTGAACTGGGGTGATGCAGGAGGAGCTGGCATAGTTCTCTTTATGCTCTCTTTATGTAGACTTGGAGTCCACACATCCGGCCAGACAGGGTGAAGACAATGCATCAGGTGGACAATGCTCTTGCTGCAGGAGAGGAACAGGCAGCGGGCACATACCCAACCCAGGTCAAACAGCACCACACACTCCTGTGAACCCATTGACCAGTCCCACTGCCCCTAGTCGAAAGCAACAGCACCTCAGGGGGAAGTGGTAATCCCAGGGTGTAGGCAGAGAGACTCTATGGCTGAGCCTGCCTGCAGGCTGTGGCAGGGAGGGAGCTAATGTCAACACCACCCCTGCATCCACAGCAGCAGTGAATCTCTTGCCTGTGTCTGAGGGTGACTAACCCCCCCATGACCTGTCCCCGCAGGCTGACAGCATCTGGATGGATATCAGAGATGATGATGACCTGCCCACAGCGGAGGAGCTGGAGGACTGGATAGAAGATGTGCTTTCTGGGAAGATAAATACTGAAGATGACGATGACGATGATGACGACGATGATGACGATGATGATGACGATGATGATGATGACGATGATGACGACGACGATGATGACGACGATGATGATGATGATTAACTGTGACTCTGTGCAGTTTCACTTGTGGGGGCCCAGAGCCCTCCCCCTTCGGCAGGTCCCTCCATTGGAAGGCCTGTGCTTGAGCGTCAGCAAGCACCGATGCTCTTCTTTGCCCCCTGCCCTGCTCCCCCTGCCCCTGCCTCTGCCCTTGCCGGGACCCCCCAGCCTGATTCTCAGTGGTGCTGAGCCACCAGGACTGCCCCTGCAGGCACCCAGCACCGCTGCAAATCATGCCTCCTTAGAAAGGACAATAGGAATCCACAGGGAATCTGCCCTGAGCTTCCCAGGGTGGGAGAAAAGTGCCTGCCTGCTCACTGCCAGAGGGACACAGGAAGCAGTTGTGTTTTCCATGCTCATCGGCCCAGCACTTAACATCCAAAGACCAAATCTCACTTCAAGACACAGGGAAGGCCACTGTGAAGTTCAGTCCTTTTATTAAACACAATGCCCTTTGCAGCTTACTCTGCCAAGACCACTCAATCCTGCAGGTTCTGCTGCAGGAGTCTGTAGCTGCTCACTAGCACCTTAAAAGCAGCAAAAAGCTTTGGGAAAGGAGAAGGGATTTAGGGATTCTATTTAAGTTTTCAGTGATCCCATATGACAGGATATTCTTGTCTGGCAGCGCAATGCAAACCAAATACCACAGTCCCTGTCTGAACCTCTTCTCGAAAGCTCAGGCCAAAGCTAGGGTAAGTGCAGGTAGTCTGATAGGGGACATCAACTTTTGTGAGTTCCTGAATGGCTGGAAAGGCTGATCCAGGTCTGAGCCCAGCCGCTTGAGGCTGAAGATCATGAGCCAAATCGCTGGCCTTAACCCAGAAGAAACACCAAAGCAGACTCCACGCCAGTTGCAAACATCTGCAACCAGGTCTGGGCTGGGCCTACCTTCCCTTTCAGGTGAACCTCAGACAGATTGAAGGTGGTGTACATGAGATAGTGCCAGTGGAAACATACTTGCGGGCCCACCCTGAAGCCCTCCTATTGCCCAAGACCTTCCAGCTTTGGCTGGCTTTCAATCCATAGCCTACAGAGCATCTTTTCCCATGACCAAGATGTTGGGAGGGAACGCATCCATCCAACCGTATTAGATGCTGGATAACATGCGTTGGGCAACGAGCAGTGAAAGCTGTTTGGCTTTTACATATCCAGTTCCATAGTTACTCCCTGCTTAGAGACTCATGGTAGTTCATGAGAAGCCTCTTTTGACTACAGACTGAGAAGGAGCTCATAGTCAAGGGGGTCACTCTCAAAGCAGAGCGTCAGCAACTCCATCCTGGTGAGTGCAGCACCATCCATGTGCAGGTCACTGCAACAGCGTTAGGTCGCCCTGCTTTTCCATGCTGGTAGATTTCAGTTGTCTTAGCTTCTTAGATTTGACAATAGTGCAATGAATGGAAAGCTTGGAGATAGTTTTATCTTTATAAATACATTTATAAATATGTTCTCCAGTTGTCCAGCCTTGTTAGCATAGGTTAACACGTCCTCTCTTGCTACAGGCAAAAACCATTGTCCTGACCTTTCTTATACTGGCTTATGTCAGAGGTAAGTGATGTTACAGGGGAAATAACAGTGTGAGGGACGGGAGAAGCAGAGCTCCTTGTACAAATGTGACTCAGCCTGATGAGACACAGGGTTTACACATTATGTATTTCCTTTATCAGATGAACTGCAAAGCAATATTTTACAGATTTGTTTTCCCCTGCCTGTTGATCAGTCTCTTTGACTCTGTCTCTACATTAGCTGAAATAGATATTTTAAACTACTGGTATAACAAAGCTGAAGTACTGATATATTCCTACATGTACTTAGCCCCTTGGTGGAAAGTGCCAGTATGAACAACACGCAACTGGGTATCTATTTACCTCTATGTATATGAATGAATACTGTGCTTATATGGTATATGACCGTAGGCCACGTTAGCTCCTCACTGAACACCACTCAACCCCTGCTTTTAAGACACAGCCTATTAGAAGAAGAGACAGGACAGCAAAGCAGTCAACTATTTGCCTTTTCTTGCTTCTTTATGATGTGTGGAAGACTCAAACAAAGTGTGCTTGGGGAGACCATCCGTACATGGACAACCCAGCCCCATGCCAGAGGACCTGGTGGAGACTTTCAGAAGCCTGGAAATGTTCTCAGCCTGGAGGTGCCCTCCTCTCCTCCAATCACATCCTCCTCTCTCCTGGCCAGAGGGGTGCCCAGCATCCTCCTCCTGCTCTTTCCTTTCAGCTGCTTCCTCCAAAGGTTTGCTGGAGGAGCCTGGCTCAGAGAGAGGGACTCAGTGTCTCATGGATGCACATTGGCATGGAGGAAGAGCAAGCAAAACTAGCCATTTAGGAGTCTCCCAGTCTGTGGTTAAGGGACTCAGCTGAGTTTATCTTTACCTTGGGGCTATTCTGAGAAGTAAAACATTTGGTTTTACCCTGCATAAAGTAACAGTTTGCACAATCCCTGCAGCACCAGACTAGGCATCACAAAGTGCCATGAATGTCTATAAGCACAATAGCTGCTCTGCTGCCTTTCCCAAATGGCACTGTCTCCAGACACCCTGATTGCCTGAGTACTTTCTCTATAGCTCCCACTGTGGAAGCCTGTCTTTTCTGATGTTTCCCTCTCTAAATGCTCTGAGAGGCACAGTTTACATAGGCAGACCCTGCAAAGGGCATTACAGATGTGCTCAAGAGCACAGCTGTTTCACAGGCACATACACATTTTGATGCATCAAGGAAGAGAGCTCTGGGGGGGGGAAGAATAATGTGGTGCTTAGGCTTATAAGAGGCCACTGAGGCTGAGCTGGTGTCAGTGGTTTACGGTTTCTCCTGAGTTATATGAGAAAGGGTTAATCTTACAGCTGCCACTCTTCATGGTGCCAGCGCAGTCTTTGATGGGGCCACACTTTCTCTGCTCCCTTATTTCCCCAGTATGGTTTTCTTTCTTGTCTTTGCCCAATAATGGGATTTTTTGATTACTTGCTTTTGGGATAAACACATAAAAAGTTAAGGAACCATTGCAGCGGAGGAAGGATTGCAGCAATAAAGATGAGCGCTCAGCACAGCCTCTCCCATTCACCCCTAACACCTCCTCTGCCCTGTGTTTGTAGTGGCTGAGCCATTGAATGAGGCAATACCCCTTGTGAAGGAGGTGGCAACTTGAACTTGAGTGTCTTCCTGCAGGGACAGGGATGATAGTGGTATATGGAGGTGGCACATACAGAACCCAAGCATGGGCACTCCTGGGCTCCTCTGTCAGAAGTAGGCACAACTGGCATTTGAAGGCTGCTGACTACACTCTGAAAGGCAAAATGTCAGTAGGTTCGGATGAGGAACCAGCCAAAAAACCCTTCTTTATTTAAACCAAAACTGCTGTGGGCAGCACTGAGTGTTCCTGCAGGGAATTGTGTGAAGACTGTTCCTCTCTTAGCAAGTAGTTCTTTTTCTCCTGAGTGTTAATTAGACATTCACATTAAATGTGTCTTAATACACATAGAGACAAGGAATTGTATTTTGCCCTCATCCAGCTGCAAGTGTTTCAAGATGATCAATCAAAGGACCCCAAAACCTAATCTTATCAGTACCCAACAACAGCGAAGCCCCCCCCCCGCAAGCCATATGTGGCCAGAACAGTCATACACCACCTCCTCCCAGTCACAGGGCCAGAAGAGGAATTGGTTTGGTGTGCTGGACCACAAGCCACCCTGTGCTACTCATGGGCAATGATCAGGAGACAGAACCCCATCAAGAGCCACGTAGTGCAGCTTTCATACAGGAGCACGAAGGAGAAAGCTTCTGCCTTTGCAGCAGAATCAAGGACACTGATGGAGAGGCTTTGTGAACCCAAAACTACTCTGAACTTATGTCAACCATCTGGGCAACAGCCCCAGAAGGAGAGGACAAGTGAAGCTCTTTGGAAATCACAGGTTACTCCATATCTGCAGGGGCAGCAGTTTTCATGATGCTTCTGAGGAGCCTCCTGTCTGCCTTTGGGAGAGGAACGGCCTTGACATGAAACCAGAGATCTCAGCAGCTTCCCATCCCAGAATGAAGCCAGACTGCAACACACATGCACAGCTCAGGACACCAGCTGCTTCCCTGTGTCTGTCTGCACATCATACCTCAGAAGTGATTGATTCGTTACCAAGACCAAACAAACTCCATTGCCCTTGATTCCCAGGGAAATAATTAATTAGACAGGAACATCTCTTCCCAGCTGCTGCTGACTTGAAAATAGGCCAGGTTGCATCTGGATTCCCCTCTGCCTGGTAAATCTCAGTTTCTCACTGATACTTGTACTTGGGGTTAAAGAGGAGTAAACAGGCAACAAGCACCAAGGCCCTCCAGGGCAAAGCAAACTGCCTCCTGGCTACTTTTACACCTCAGGTACATCTGTGCCATGCAGTGTAGAAACTGGGAGCAGCAGAGCACAGCAGGAAGGATAATTAACCTCAGTAATGAGACTGCACCAGCAGGACTGTGTCTTACATGAGACCCAAGACTCTGCGTGTCAACCCACTGCGCTGCATCCCTGCCTTTTCCCTGCTCCCTTGTACCACTGACATGCTACAAGGGTAAAGCAGCCCTTCAATGGTAAATACGCCTTGGGGCCAGCCATGGGATGGCTCTCACACCTGTTTGGCAGATGATGTCTAATGATGACACAGACCATGAGGCAGGACCCAGGGCAGAGCCATCCCTCCTGGCCTAGCTCCCAGAACACTCCCTGCCAGGTTTCAAAAGGTGCTAAACTATTTAAAGGAGGAAATAAACAATATAAGCAATGCTACTGAGCTTCCGTGCAGCTTGAAGACCCATTTCTGGAGTTAGATTGCAAGCAGCATTTGGAATGGAAGCAAACAGCCTTCCCATGCCTCCCTCCCCCCCCCTTACGCTCCCTCCTTGAGCCTTCTGCCAAGTCCCTGTGATGAAGGAGATCAGCAAAGCTCTCAAAGGGCTTCTGTTATTGTCCTTAATGCTATGGAAAACAAGAAGAAAACATGGCTTTTTCACCTTCTTTTCATCCCTATTGACTTTACTCTTCTGGTCTTCACTGCCTTGTTTTCTCTCTCCATTTCTATCTAGCCTGCCTTCCTCTTCTCCTCCATTCACCCTTATAGCGTTGAGGGTCACTCAAGGACAAGGACCTCCCCTGCCCCTTCTGCTTAAGCTCATCCCCAGCACAGGGAGGCAGCAGCAGCCCTGACACCACTGCCAGGAGCCAGCCATGGTGGGACCCCGTGCCATGAGCTGTGGTGTGAACAGCGGGAGGGACAACATTCTCATCCTAAGGAGAAAGCTGACAGGCTGAGACTGGCTTTCCTTTTGTGAGGAATAGGTGCGACACTCCCAAGATGAAGCTGTTTCAGGAGCCTGGGCACTGAGGGAATACCGGGATTGTTTCCTGGGGGCATCTTTTCCTGTTGTCCCAAAATCCAGATCAGGAGCTATCACCCTACAACCAAGCCCTGACTACTGCCATTGCAGGATGAGATCAGTAACCCCCAGTGCCACCAACAACCACACCACCTGAGCAGAAGACAAGTGAAACGACTTCAACACAATAAGCCTCGAGGGTTAAAGGAACCGAGTTTGCTGGAGGGGTTATCCCATACTTCAGCAGCAGCCAGAAAGCCAAGTACCTGTCTGAGAACACAAGTAGCTGTCCTGAGTGAGCCCTCCTTTGGTTGTGGGTGGTGAATGACTTCAATATCCACGAGCAACCTAACCCTCTGCTTTTGGATGTGGAGGAAGCGCAATCTGGTTCCTCCCTCAGTAGCACAGATAAAGTGATGCTCAACCCTGAAATATGCCTGGTGCTTGATTTTGGCTTTGAAATCCAATGCAACAGGTCAAAACCCTCCTCCTGCTAGCGACAAAGAAAGAGGCCATTGAGAACAACAGAAGCAATGAAATGCTTGAAGGACATTTTAGTCCCCACCAAATGGAATGGCTGAAGGAATGTGCACAGCTTCCCACAGTCTAGTTACTGAATTACTAAACCAGTTTCTCCCAACCACTTACAAAGCAAAATCAGAATCAACTGTAGGATCTGGGATTATGAGTCCCAAGAATGAGCTTTTACAAAGTAGAAGCTAAAAGGTTTGCAGATCCGTTTCACAGCTGTGGCCCAGATACAATCAGCTCCTTCTCATTCCCCTCTTTCAAATTATGGCCCCGCCACTGATTTGTGATGAAGAGAGGTCCAAAGGGTGAAGAAGGTCTGAGTATCCTTTAAGACATCCAGAGAGGCTGAATCTAATGTGTTTTATCAAGAACTCCCTTCTCTCTGTGCGCCCACTTTTATTCATGCTCCCTTTTCAAGTAGCCAGGGAAAAAAAAGAAGAAAGAAATAGAAGAGGCAGCCAAGACTGGAGATGTCAAAGCATTTGGAAGCCTGATTTTTGTCTTTAGAAGAGTTTCCATTTACAGAGCAGCTTCACGCCTTGAGCAA